AAACCCCCCATCCTAACCCGAAAAATCCCTAAAAACCCCTCCCCCCACCGCCTAAAGCCTCTAGTCGCCCCTCCCTCACCTTTGAAACCCTAGCGCTAGGGTTTTGAAGGTGGGGGAGAAGCAGTTGAAGGCTTTATGTGGTGGAGGGAGAGGGGTTTCGTGGTGGGGTTATGGTGGTTTTGGGGCGACGCAATGGGGGTTATGGGCGGTTGCCGGGGCAAGGTTGGTCTGGGCGCGGCCAGGAGTGGGGGCAAGGGCGGAGGGCTAGACATGTGGGGGCAGGAGGGGTGGTTGGTGGTTCTTTTTTATTTTTTTTATTTTTTTTTATATATAATTAGTTTTAAAAAATTAGTTATATTTACTTATTAGCTAGTTAAGTGTTGATTAGTAACTAATATTTTTTTTAAGTGTTAATTAGTGTTTTTGATCAATCACGTAGTGACACGTGTAAGTTAAATTTTTTTTCTTGAAAAAAATTACCTATTCAACCGGTTATAGCCTTATAGGTCACTTGGGACCATTAGAAGAAAATTCTCATCAAAGTTCGGATTATTAAAAAATAATCTAAAGTTTGGATTCTTTTGGGCAAATGAGGTAAAGTTCGAATTATTTTGGTCAATTTTTCCTATTTTTAATATGTGTTTATTAAAAAAATTTAAAATTTGATATTTAAAAAATATAAATCAAAACAGATCTAATAAAATCCTGCATAATCATGTTTTTTCTTACTTATGAAACACTACAAAAGTTGATCAACGATGATGTGTGAATCGTTAAAAAGTTCAAATGGTGCGATTACGGAGGGAGTATTATTTTTTATGTACCATTAGTCCATTATAGATGTATAGTCTCATCATATAGCTCACTACTATTAATAAATCGCATATTGATATGTACCATGTAAATATATCTATATACTTGGAGAAATAAATGTAACAATAGAATGTTTTTATAATATCATTAAATCATCGAATGGGATTATTTACTTACTTTGGAAAACTACATTTATGTTCGAGTACGTGTAAGATTAATTGTACTTCGGCCCCGTTCACTTCACCTTAAAATAATAATATTCAGTAAAAATAATTTTATTTCAATAAAAATAAGTTCAGTTCAGTAAAAATAATTTTAGTTCAGTAAAAATCAGTAACTTTAAAGAAGAAATATAGTAGAAAATAAGTAAAAATAATTTCAGATCAGTAAAATAAGTTCAGTTCGGTAAAATTAATTTCAGTTCAGTAAAAATAATTTAAGTTCAGCAAAAATAATTTCAGTTCAGTAAAAATAATTTCAGTTCGGCAAAAATAAGGTGAAGTGAACGGGGCCTTCGTATAAGCGTAAAGTAAAAATGGATCCTATTAAAGTCGACAATTCGACATTATCTACAAAATTGTCATGATATGTATGTGTCTACCGGATATTGCTTAAGGCTTCCTCTTTTTATGCCTAAGGGGGTGTTTGGTATGTGGGAATTAAGGGTGGGATTGGAAGTTTTAATCTCAATTGAAGAAAAAACTTTGTTTGTTTGATGGGAATGGGAATAAAAAGAGATTTAAGAATGGGAATATTTAGGGGTGAATTCCCACCATTTTATTACCAAGGAAAGGTAGGTAATAAATGGATGGAATAAAAATAGGTACAAAATGACATTTTTGTCATTAATAAAAAGAATGGAAAACAAATGTTAGTAAGGGTATTTTTGTAAAATTGTTATTTATTTCTTATATATTCCCACCCACCATCCAAACAAAGGTATTGACATATTTTCGAGGCCGCCCCAGTTGATCTTCTTGATCAATTTACAAAACAAATCAAAATGGCAAAATTGTAAATAACGTGAACAGTAGCCACATGCTATTACCATTTTGCCCCAGGTTTAATGATGGAAAAGACACTTTTACCCTTACCAAACATATGCTATTACCACTTTGACCCAGGTTTAATGATGGAAAAGACACTTTTGCCCCAAGTTTAATGATGAAAAAGACACTTTTACCCTGTTGATTGACAAAATAAATTGATCAACAAGATCAACTTGTATTTTGCGCATATTTTCATGTATTCCCATCAATTAATTCCCAATACTATTCCTACATTTTAATCCCCAAACTCCCATTTCCACATTCCAAATGCCCCGTAAATGTGTCATTAAAATCCTTTTGTTATATGGATCTAGGTAGACTCGAGAAAATATAACAATAGATAATATTGAAGCTCGCAAGCAATCAATGGGAATAATTAAGTATCCTCTCAAGAACACAAAATAGATCAAGCATACTCATAACTCATAATAATATTATTAAAATCGACTCCTCTTCTAAAATACAACCCTAAGCATATATTTATACCTGTTAACATTATCTTAAGAGAAAGGGAACTATATAGCCTAGTAAAATAAAAGACCTAAGAACCAATCAATGAACTAAATAGCCCATCAATTAATCCTTACACACTAGAACGCAAATTTTTACCTGGTCTCGAAACCAGTACCATTTGTTGCACCCTCGCCAAAACGACAGCGTTTTGTGGTAGGGAGCCGAGCCTAGCCATATTTTCTTTTCCTTCCTCTAAACGACATCATTTTTTTTCTAGCTCACATCTCCAATTTTATTTTCCAGCCATATTTCTTTCCTTTGTTGAGTATATAAAGATTTTGTTTCCATTTAATTCAAACTTTCTCTCTCTTCTCAATTTTACAATATTTTCTTTCTCATTGTTCATCTTTGATATATTTTTTTTTTTATTTTTGGTGCTGAATTGCTCTACACATTCAAGGTATTCAAGATTTTTATTCTTTTGTTTGTAAATAACAATGGAGCTTGCTACGAATTGTTCATCTGGGATTCTTCCTTCATTATTAGAGGAATGTAAGTTTATTTATTGCTTTGATTGAATAATTTAGTGCTTTTTTTATTCAATGGAGTTTTTTTTTTTTTTTGAATAATTTTGTGCTGTTTTGATTCAATGGAGTTTATTTTGCTAATTGATTATTTCATATACTCCGTAATTAATAATTGCTTAATGCTTGATTTCTTTGGATTGAATAATTTAAGCTTTGAATTTATATTTTCTATTTATTATATGTGTTTTTGGTTTTGATTGAACAAAATCAATATTATAGTGTTTGTACATGTTATACTATTTTCAGTGATTGTACATGTTATACGTTGTTTGTTTTATAATAATATTATAGTGTTTTTAATTGAACATTTATTATGTTGATTATGAACAATATTTCAATAATGAATTAATCACTTATTTTTTCTGTCGTTTTCATATTTTTTGAATATAAATGAACATTTTATTATTTTGATATGAACATTTTTAATTAGATACAGTATGACCTGATTCTAAAATGAACATTATATGACTATAATATGTACATTTACTATTTTCAGTGAATAAAGATCTAGTAATAGTTTATGAGGCAGACAAATCTGAATTAATGGTGAAGACTGTTAAGGGTGATGCAGGGGCTTACGATTTATACAAGGAGTATGCTTTTTAAAAAGGTTTTAGTATTAGGAAGGCAAAGACAAGAAATAGTAGGCGCGCTAGGGAAATGGACTATGATAAAGTTATTGTGTTCAAATGAAGGGTTTAAAGACAACAAGAAACGGAACACTAGAAAGTATGAAAAATTGGTGGATCGTACAGGTCGTACAACATTTGTTCAGTTTTCTATTGGGAAGGATGGTGTATGGTTAGGTTTAATGTTCAAACATCTGCTGAGGTATTAATGAATATATAGATTTCTAAATTTGAACAATGTCTTATATTGTATGAACAATTAGTTTATGATTTGTTATTATCATTTGAACAATTTTTTTTGAATTTTACAAGACTTTATTATAATGCTGCTCGTTTGATTTATTCAAATTCTAGCATTGAAGGATCAAGATTGGTTGCTTTAAACAAGGATACTACTCAGTCAATTGAAGGTAACAAAATTCAGAAGGATAAGGTAAATATGAACATTACATTTTTACATTATGATCATTTCATCTTTTTATTATGAACATTTCATTTTTCGACTATTAACATTTAATTTTTTTATAAGGTTGGTGATACAATTCCTACTTAGTTAAAAGATCCATCTCATGATAGAATGGTAAGGTAAATATAGTTGAACATTATTGTTTTCATTATGAACATTTCATCTTTCTATTTTGAACATTTCATTATTCGACCATTGTCATTTAATAATTTATAAGGTTGGTGATACAATTCCCACTCAGTCAAAAGATCCATCTCATGATAAAAATAGTAAGGTGAATATAATTGAACATTATTGCTTTTTGTTATGCACATATATAGTATTTATATACGTTGACATACATTTTATTTGTTTGAATCATTTTAAAGCTGGAGATGTTAGAGATGTTTATTTCACCAAAATTCTTTCAATGTTTGATCAATGAATAATAGTTTAGTAAGTATATAATTTTGCTATCATTGTTCTTTTTTTTATTTTTATTTCTTATTGAACATTTTTTTTTTACAGGGATTTTTTCCTAACATTGAAGCATACTATACAAGATTCATCAAGATCTATACATTGAATCATTCTATACTATACATTGAAGCATACAATTTTACTTGTCAAGAACATATTTGATTTTATTATAAATGAATGAACATTTTATGTTAATGTTATGCACAATGTTATTGATAATTAATATTATGTGATTTTTTGATATTATTTGATAATGTTATCATTAATTTTTTTTTTTAATTTTTTTTTTAATTTTTTTTTTAAGATTCTACATAAATGAATAAACTTTTCTGATTTATATGAGTTGTCATTTTAGAAATCAACTTTTCAATTAAAAATTTGTAATTTATATCAAAACATTCTATTGAACATTTTATAAAAGAAAATGAACAATTTTATTTATGTGTTTGAATGTAATTGCCTTTAAAGTTGATAAGAGTATAAAAATGAACATTTTAAACATGTGAAATGAATTAAAAACACAAATGTATTATCAAATATCAGAAACATATGTTTATATACATTCATCATTCAATATAATTTGAAATACTCTTTTGAAGAAATATCATATTGTATATTACATAAAGACACATATTGTTTTGCATTTGAACATTTAGAAGTTAATCACTTTCTCTTTGTCTTCTTTTTGCTGCCATTTTGTTCATTTGGTGGTACTTGGCTCCCTCAAAAAGCATCAGTTGTGCACAATATACGACCCGTAACTTCCTCAATTGATCAACCTAGTTGAAAAAATACATATAAGAAAAATATTTAACACAATAATTTAAAAATAGGATCACATTTATAGAAATGAACATTTGATTTGAAAAGATGAACACTTGGGTTAAAAGAAATGAACATAAAGAGCACTTACATCATTTTTCAAGTCACAAATCCATTGTTTTTTAGGGTTAGTTGTATACGTTCCATATGCTTCATAAGGTACAAACCATTTCTCAAAAACATTTTCTGATTTTGCTTTCTTAGATTTGATTTTGATCTTCATTTGATTAGTCTCTTGTAGTATTCACCCCTCTAGTTTTGATAAACGCTTTTAAAAAATAATAAACATCCTCAACTATGAAAATGAATAAATGATCCCCCTAAGTCTTTAGTTAACTATCAGTAATGAACATTCACTCTTCAGATTTTGAACATTTTTATAATTGTGATGCCTTTAAACAGTAAATGGGCATGCTTTCAAACAAAATGAACATCCTCAACTATTAAAATGAACAAAGAAGTAAATTCAGCATCACGCTCTATTAAATTTTTGACAAATGACTAAATTCAGCATTAAACATTTTATCATCTTAAAATGAACATTTCATCATCTTTAAATGAACATTTTTTAATACTATAATGAACATTTTCTAATATTAAAATGAACATTTTTAATACTAAAATCAGTTGAGAGTAATTATGCGTTCCAAACTATGAAATTAAAATGAACAAATGATTATGATATTGAACATCATTATAAACAAAATTGAGCAAACTATGTCTTACTTGGCTGATCTTTTGATATCATTTAAAAGTGTTGGGTCTATTATAAGAGTAGGATTTCGCGTTTGTCTTTTTTTTCTAGCCAATTTGATGGCAATTGGAACATCTTCATCATCTCTGTTCGTTTTCACAAAATGAACATTAAATTTTTACAAAATGAACATTTAGTCAATAACACTATAACTACTAATATTAAACTCTAAAATCAACAACAAAATTAAAATTGCACTTACGAATCTTTGCTTTCAATATCCTGCTCTGAACTAGCTTTTCTCATTCTGAAAGATTCAAAAAAAAAAAAATAGTTAGGGTTTTTATTTTTTGAATCAACTAGAAAATCAGGCTAGTTAGCTCAGATGCTAAACTCTTGTTGTTGTTGTTTCTTAATTCCGGCATTGATGATGTAATTCTTGTTCCCCTAGACAAAATGTACAAAAATCCAAATAAATCAACCAAAATTATACAAAATTCAAAATGAACAAAAATCAAAATAAACAACCAAAAATGTAATTATAATACTGAAATTGACGGCTAGAGAGAGAAAATTATAAATAAACAAAATCTATGTACTGATTGAACAGATTTACAAGTTTAGAGTGACATTCGTTGCTCAAATTAGAGAAAAATTGAAAATAACCTTATTTTTTTACGATGATTTCCAGAACCTACGGTAGCATCAGCAATTTCTTCTCTAATATCCATGATTACGCATGAAATTTTTGATCTCCAAGCTTTCTCAGAATGTTTATGGAGGTTTCAGATGAACTAGAGAGAGAAAGAGACAGTAGAGAGAAAAATGGGTATGGTGGTTTCAAAAAATGAAAAATGGGTTTATTTTCTTTTAAATCAGGTATTTATACTTGATTTGACAACACAATACTTGGTGACGTCACGTCACGTGAGCTCTTATTTACGTTTCATGCTATAAAACGTTGTCGTTTAGGTGAGGGGGCATGAATATATGGCTGGTCTGGAGACCAGCCTTCATTTATTGACACTGGAACCTATTTATAGGCCCAGTACAACTAAAAGTAAGTCCATTTATAATAAAAACAATAATAAAAGCCCACTTGTAAAACTCATACTTTACAAGTAAGGTAAAACCAAAAGGGTATTTACATAAGGCTATGAAGATAGTCATAAGAACGAATCTAGATTCACATCAATTTGTGGCATTTAAACTTACCAAGTTACCGAGTAAAACTGTAAAACATGGGAAACAAAGTTGGCATTATGGTATTAGAAATCACATCATTAACTCTATAATCTAATACAATAAAACAACTTAGGGCCCCTTTGATGTCCTTGTAATTTTCAGTTTTTTTATTTTTGGCTTTTGAAGGCAAGACTATATATATGAAATATAGTTTATAAAAAAATTTGTCTGAGTTATTGAAATTACAATCAATAACATAACATAATACTAAAACAAACACCAGGAATGACACGTGTCACTTTCTGGTGTTGTTTTAGCACTCCAAAACCCCCCCTCCTTTTTAGTAAATTTTTTTTATTTTTGGAATATTTGTATTATTATACAACTATAATAATATATTATTCCTAATGTTATATATTATCTTTATGATAATTGTATTTCTTTTAATTTTACTTAAAATAGTTACACAAGGTTTTGACACCTTTTTATTAAGGAAGAATAATCTATTAAAAAAAATTAAAAAATAAAAAAAATAAAGGGAGAATAAGCTATAATTTAGAAGGTTGACATATGGTGGAGAGTATAAAATGACGGAGCCAAAAATACAATAATAGGGTTCAATGGGGAAAAAAAATAATATCTATTCAGGGTGTTGATTTGAAATCTTATGAAATAATAATAATTGAGTTAATTTTTTGTTAAATATTTCTGAACTTATAACTTTTTTTTTTCCTTCAAAAAATCTATTAACTATCACTAAAACATGTAATGTTTACATCGATCATTTTAGACATATGTCAAGCTATCATTAAAAAATTTCCCGCCAATACAATATATGATGTCAATTTTAAGTTGTTTTTTTTTTTAAAAAAAATAATTCTACTTAGCTTATTTTTTGGAAGTATGTACTTAGCCAAAAATACAATATTAACATTTAATGTATACATTGTATAGTTTTTTTTTTTGGAACTAAATTAATTTATTAATAAAAAGCCATACAACATTAGTTTTATTGGGAATAACATGCATAATGTAATAAAATGTATATTATTTTTTCAACACAACTAATAAAAAATAATTATATATCTTCTTCTCAACTGTAGTTTTAATATTTTTTGCCTTATTGTTTCATCTTTTTTATAAGCATGCATTTATTTATTGCACATGAGTTACCCCATTTTTATATTATATCACAAATTAATTATGGGAAAAAAATATTATTATTACCGTACATCGCATCGGTACTAATCTACTTATTAAAAAAACTGACAACAAAAGTGCAGTGAAATCTACTTTTTCTACTTTCTTGTTTTTTCACCTTTTGTTTCTTAAAAAAAATAGAAAAATAAAAATAAAAAATGATAATAACGAACAAGCCTTTAGAAATCCCAAGACCTATTAACAATCTATATATTCTAATCAAGCTAAGCTATTAGAATTAAGGCCCAATGAGTTGGACTACTTTTTCAATTAATAATACTGTACCATATCTAACGTTTTTTTTTTCCTAGTCGTTCCACTTTAAATTTTTTTTAGGTGTTCCTCATTGTACAACTTTACCGTTAATAGTTGTTAGTAACTGTAAATATTTTCTCGTTGGTAGACTCAATATGGTTGGTTTGTTTTTTTTTTTTTGAAAGGCTCAATATATTTATCGATGTACAATTTTGACATTAATATATTTTTAGTAGTTATTAAATATAAATATTTCCTCTATTGTTAGTCTATATTTGTTTATCAATGCACAATTTTAACCATTAATAATAAAATTATTAATAATATGAGTAATATGACTAAGCTAGCAATGGGATGGACCACATATTGATAAGTAAAATAAGTTAATGTCTTTTGTCTAGTTTGTGTAAATTTGACTTGGCTCGTAAATTCAAAGATGGCAAAGATGGCAAATCATCGTGTCCAAGTCCTCTACTAAAGTTGACCATAGAGGTGTTGACTTACTTGACTTTAGAGGTGTTGCCGTGTTGCCTATATTGTTGCGGTCTTGCGGATATGAATATATGATAAGGGACTAAGGGTGCGAATTGGTCTTAGCTTGTAGAGTTGTAATGGCTTTCAAGTTGATTTGTGACTGTCTCTACTAATTATTGTAATACAAATTATTGTTTTACATTAATAATACATTGAAAATTATCGTGTGTGGCACGAGAATTAACCTAGTGTCTTTACTAATTATCTCATAGTAAGTTCATTTTAACATGATCGTAGCAAGCACATCAAAATAGACTATTACTATGTTTGTGAGCATGTTGCCCATGAAGCTCTCACTGCTTGATACGAGTATGTATCTACATAGATTTAATTAGCTGATATTTTTACTGAAGAACTTTCTACTCCACATTTGAATTTATATGAACCAAGGTGTGGTAGAAGATATGATGTGGATAAATATGAAATTGAGTGTTGATTAAAAGGATGTTAGTTAATGAAAACAAGTTATACCTTCAAAAGTTTACTAATAATCTTGAGAAATCATTTTAGGTAGTTGTTTTCTTAAATAAGCTTTTTACTTTCTCCACACACAAGAGACTAGAAGTGTAGATAAGATTAAAAAAAATAAAAATAAAGATGCTCTTCCTTTTCCTTTATCTGTATCTCCAATGATTGTTCTTTGAGTAATTGTTATAGATGATTCTCAAATTTGGTCGATCCAAGGGTGTCAAATATATAATTATTTACAAGTGGTCTATCACTGACGACAAGCCTAATCCACCCAATTTAACAAGATAGTTTATTTTATTTTAATTTTTGGTTAATTAATCAACCTCACTAATTAATGCTGAAATAATTATAAAGCCAAGAAAAGAGTGATTTAACTTTGCTCAGCTAATATATTAGGATTTAAAGCTTTTCCCCTCCCAACATTTTTTATTTTTATTTTTTATAGAGATAGCAGCATGGCCGAAGCAGCACACCGGCTACTTAATTTGGTTCAAACGGCCTTATTGTAAGCCTAACACGACATGAGAAACTAATCGACAATGGGTCATGGATCGCACATAGAAATCTTTTTTAATATTTAGCACAAACATGAAGGCTCAACCTACTCATTTTTAACCAACTAAAATAAAATAATTAATATTTGTTGAGAAGGTTAGGCACAACATGACTTATCATGAAACGGCTGGTGGATTGTGATGTGCTTATATGAGCTCCTTTATGAAATATCAACACAAGTTTGACATGACACTGCGTTTTCGATCCTTAATTAGTGTGTTAAGCATGACTAGCTTGAACACAAAACCTGTTTATAAATGACTCTTGTTGTCAACTTATTTTTATATAATAAAGTGTAGTAGTAAGTAAAAACCTTTTTCCTACTAATTAGTAGGAAAAAAACAGTGACAATTGAGCTCCCAACCTCATGACACAGGATTCTCGATGACATTATAATATAAAATTAGTAATTTACTTCTTGTACTACATTTGATTAGACCTACGTGGCTACGTACTAGATCTAATTGCCACTAAAGTAAATTATATTATCAATCAAGTTAAATTGACTAATGTCTAAGGTTGCAAAAGCAACACATGTTGACCCACTTTAGGTAGTTGATAATAAAAATTAATAGTTAATCCATTGTTTAAGGATAGAAGTAAAGCTCTAAATAGTCACTAGGAAGTAAAATTATAAGGAAGATTCCACCAAAATTAAAAAAGTTTAATTATTAAAGGGAAGATAATTATCTCAATGATCAATAATAATCACCCAAGTACCCAACAAATTATATTCTCTTACATGGAAATTGTAGTACACACGGTTTCTCGGACACTTTTATAGCAAGTTTCTCTATGTGGGACCCATGCATGTCTTTAATAACAAACTGCTAGGGGTGGGACTTTTCAAACCGAACCGTGAAACCGCCCGTTACCGAACCGAACCATCACAGACCGATCCGTTTATAAACCGATAAATATAAACCGAAAACCGAACTGAACCGTTCAATATCAAACCGAAACCGAATTGAACCGCTCAATGTCAACCCGTTACGGACCGTAAACCGATAACAAACCAAACTGCGCAAATCCGAACCAAAACGAAACCGAACCGAATAGTTTATAAACCTGTTAATGACCCGAACCGTTTATAAACCGAAACCGTTTAAACCGAAAAAAACCGTTTAAACCGAACCATTTGTAACCCGCTAACCGTTTAAACCGACCCGTTTATGAACCGAAACCGTTTAAACCGCACGTATAAACCGAACCGTTATAATCCGCTAACCGTCTAAACTGAACTGCCATAACCCGTTAAACCGTTAAAATCGAACTGTTTTCGAATCGCAACCTGTTTAAACTGATCCGATTACAAACTGCTTAACTCAAATTGAATTATTTACAACCTAAATGGCTAAATAGTAAATACAATTAATGTTAATAAATATAGATCTAATCAAACGGCTTAGGTTTATACAAAGGTTTATATCACCTAGATCTAGGCCAACGACATTATTAATATCGTTTTAGATTACTTATTTATTTTAATTACAAGATATATCATTTGTATCATTTTCATTCCAGTAATAATGCTAGTCCACCCAAATTATCTTCATTGTTCCTTGATATTCATGATCATCCAATAACACTCAAAGCCTCAAAGGTAACATACGATTGGAGATGTATGAGATTGCGT